GGCCTCGGAATCAAGCTGCGCAGTGTGATGGACGTTAAGGCTATCACGTCGGTTGAGGGACTTATCGCTGAGTATGCGAGTGTTTTCGACGACGCCTTGGGAACATTCAAGGGAGTGTCCGCGAAAATAACCATTGAAGACAACGCGAAGCCGCGGTTCTTCAAGGCTTGCCCTGTTCCGTTCGCAATGATCGACCGCGTCAACGAGGAACTGATGCGCATGGAACGAGTTGGAGTGCTGCGTCCAGTTAAGACTTCGGAATGGGCTGCGCCTATTGTGCCTATATTGAAGCGGAGTGGTCAGATTCGGATATGTGGCGACTTCAAGGTCACTGTTAATCCCGTGACAGTGCCTGAAAAATACCCGATACCGCGCGTTGAAGACCTGTTTTGCCGTCTTAGCGGTGGCGAGAAGTTCAGCAAATTGGACTTGAAGAATGCGTATTTGCAAGTTGAACTGGACGAGGCATCCCGCAAGCTGGTGACAATCAACACACCAAAAGGACTGTACTAATACACGCGTTTGCCTTTTAGCGTCACATCTGCTCCTTCAATTTTCCAGCGGGAGATGGAAAACCTGCTACAAGGGCTCAGACACGTTGTGGTGTACTTCGACGATGTTCTTTTCACTGGACGCGACGACCAGGACCATCTAACAAACCTGGGCCTAGTCCTAAGCCGACTGAAGCAAGCAGGGCTAAAATTGAAGCTTGACAAGTGTACCTTCCTGGAACGACAAGTTGAATACCTGGGTCACGTTGTCACGGCTGCGGGGTTTCAACCCAACCTTGAAAAGGTAGAGGCTGTGCTGAAGGCGCCTAGACCCGAAGATGTCAAGACATTACGGAGTTATCTAGGTCTAGTCAACATCTACCGCAAGTTGCTGCCGGGGCTGTCTAGTGTGTTGCATCCCTTGAACGAGCTGCTCGCGGCCAAGGTGTCGTGGGAGTGGCGTGAGGATCATGAACGTGCTTTCCAAAGGAGCAAGGAGCTACTTGTTTCAGCAGCAGTGCTGGCGCATTATGACCCCAAGAAACCCGTGGTTCTCGTATGCGATGCGTCACCGTACGGCGTTGGCGCCGTTCCGGCCCATAGAGAAGACTCGGGGGCTGAACGACCAATCGCATTTGCATCACGAAGTCTCGCGCCAGCCGAGCGAAATTACAGTCACATCGGCAAGGAGGCTCTTGCGCTCATGTTTGGCGTAACCAAGTTCCGACAATACCTCTGGGGACGCGAGTTCGAGGCTATTACGGACCATAAACCATTACTGGGCTTGCTTTCTCCCGACAAGCGCGTGCCTGAGATGTGTTCACCGCGTATCATGCGTTGGGCTCTGATGCTTGGTGCGTATAACTACAAGCTCATGTACCGGCCGGGAGCAAGCATTGCCAACGCGGATGGTTTGAGTCGCCTACCACTACCAGGGTACGCTCAACCTGTGGAAAGGGCAGCGGAAGTTTTCATGCTGGAGGCTGCTTATCCTCGGGTGCTACGGTCGACTGTAGTCGCGGAAGCTACTTCCAAGGACCCAACCTTAGCGAAGCTACGAGAGGCCTTATGGTCTGGAGCTGAGCTACGTGACCCCGAGTTCAGGTTCTACGCAGATCGAAAACTTCAGATGAGCGTGCAAGAAGACTGTATACTTCTCGGATCGCGAGTGGTCATCCCAAGTGCATTACAGCAAGAATTGTTGCGACTCCTTCATGAGGGGCACCCTGGAATGACCAAGATGAAGGCTATCACCAGGAGTCTCGTCTGGTGGTCTTCGTTGGACGAGGACATTACCGCTGCAGTTCGCCAGTGTCAGATCTGCCAAGAACACCAGAGAGTTGCGCGGCCGGTAGCGATGACGCCATGGCCGTTTCCGGACAGACCATGGTCTCGCCTTCTTATTGACTTTGCCGGACCTTTGAAGAACCGCTACTTGCTGATCGTTATCGATGCATTTTCAAAGTGGATAGAGGCCGTTCCTATATCTACACCATCGGCAGAGGCAACTATCCCATGCCTGAGGGTTATGTTTGCTACTCACGGATTGCCAGACGTAGTGGTGTCCGACAAGGGACCAGCGTTCGTGAGCGAGGAATTCAAACTGTTCCTGCATCGAAATGGCATCAAACAAGTATTGACACCCCCATACCATCCAGCGTCAAACGGGGCTGCAGAACGGGCAGTTCAGTGCATCAAGTCAAAGCTAAAGAAATCGGCTGGAGGGAATTTTCATGCCAACTTGCCCATATTCTTTTCAATTACAGGATAACTCCCCACGAAACTACCGGGTGCTCACCAGCGGAGCTGATCATGGGCCGTAAGTTAAAAACTGCTCTAACGTTGTTGCATCCAGACATGAAAGCTGAAACAGCTCAAGCAGAAGATTGTCCATGATGGTGGAGCTCGAACCACACCACCCGCAAGACCCGGAGACTACATCTACGCACGGAATTTCCGTTCGGGATCAACCTGGATGCCCGCAAGAGTGACTGACAGAGCCATCGATAACATCGCTGATGTCGTTTTGTCAGACGGTAGGTGTTGGCGGCGCCATCAAGAACACCTGCGGCCGAACTTCGCCCCAGTTAGTGCGCCTCCTGGACTGCCGCCTGAGCGACAGACTTCTTCACCGACGCCAGTGTTACCGCCTGTGCAACAAGCTACGTCAACCACGGAGTGCGTGTCGGAACGAGCGGGTGTGCAACCGGCTGAGAAACTAGTTCCGCTACCCAGGAAGTGTGAGTCGGAGCAATCGAGTCCAGTTGCTGAGCCGTGTCCTGAATCATGCAGCGAAAGTGGGACCGCGACACGTGATCTGGTTGTGCCTACTAGCCATGACAGTACAAAAAAACCAGTTGTGCGTTTCTGACCACGAAGGCCGCTAAACTATCGTTGTTTTGTTTGTTGGTGGGGAGGAGTGTAACATAATAGCCACCGCAACACGTGCTGATATGTGATGTGTGATATGTGATATGCATCGTGTGACGTCAGCACCAGGTTGCTATAAAAGATGAGTGCGTAGGAAATAAAGGCTAGTGTTTTTCCACGGTATCAAGTGTGCTGTTCTTACGTCAGCTGCTCTCTGCGAGTTGGCTATGACAGTTCCCAGCAAGCAGCATGGTCTTCGGGCTGTAATTTTATGGATGGTGAAATGCAGGAACAAATAATAAAGAAATAAAAGGAAGAAATGCTGAAAAGCGGCATCAACATGCCAGTTCAAAGTGGTGGAGCAGTCATTTTCAGTCCACCTCGACGAGGTAGGCGAGGATCAGTGGGCACAAACTTACACATATAAGTAAAAACTGCCCACAGCTTCTTTTATCAGTGTGCTTTGGAGTAGAGGAGGGTAAAGCAGCGGACGGTACAAGAGAAGCTCCGTTCAATATTTATAGCGCGCTCGCTCGCTCACACACACAAACACACACACACACACACCACACACACACACACACACACACACACACACACACACACCTGTTATGTGCTCTTGTGCAGCTGTGTAGCACTAGTGTTGTCTCCTTTTTACGCTCTCCAATAGGCTAAGGCTTTGCGTTGTGGTTCGTGTATTTGTTTACGTTTTTTATTCTTTATATCCCAGTATTGTGACACCTAAATTCTCCCTTCTTTGCATAACTTGTGTATCAGTCCAAATACTAAGCACACGTGCTAAAAGTAAACTGTGGCGACGCCTTTTTGAGGTATTCAAAACACCCCTCTAGTGTAATATAGCACTCCTGTACCATAGCCTAATGTGCTTCATGTCGTAATACACTACGGCGACTTAAATTTCTGAAGCCAGACAACCTTCCTATCTGTAATATCAAACCAGCTGTCAGTTTATGTTTCGCTTTTCGCATAGATGGATGGATGCGAAACTTTATTTGAAGTCTTGCGGTGCACGACTCAACGCGCAACAAGCCGCTCCCACGTTGAAACAGTCAGGTTGCCGCTTGGCTCTTCGCAATGACAAAGGTTTGTGCCTGGCAGCCACATCCAGCTAAGATGTGGTGAGGCGTCCCGGCATGTACCACGAGAGGTGAACGCTGCCAGGGGCCTGGGCTCGAGTGCCTCCTGAATGAGAGCGCGTTTTAGGTCGTAATAAGACACAAGTGCATGGGAGTTTTTGGAGATAGGAGGCGTTGGGAGGTGTGTGGTAGAGAGAGCAGCCGAATCGAATGAGTCGCAGGCGGTGTTGCGGTGAACAAAAAGGAGAGACGGTGATCGTGTGTCATTGACTCGGTGATCAATTGCGCGTCGTCTTCAGGGCAAGTCTACTAAATAAAAAGAAAAGCGAAAAGTCGACTGCATGCGAGTGTGAAAACTGAAGAAGGAAGATCAGCACATGTAGAGCACATGGGGTGTGTGTTTCTGGCGGGTCACCCGGACCTATTGCCCGTTGAGCTGTACGACTGAAGCGCACAGAAATCTTTCACGAAGCCCAAGCGCAGTATATGTTGACTTTACCATATCGAAACCTCGCTGCAATTTTCAGTGCTTTGACTTGTTGCATATACGAGTAACCGGTTAGAGCACTCGTACCTTCACAAGTATAGCTTCACCATGTTACTTGCACGCGTTCGTTGTTAATATTGCACGTGAAAAACACATTACTCATTGCGTTATTTTATTTGTATTCTACAAACAGTATCGCTACAACACTTAATATACCCTCCTCAATTTTACAATAAACAAACAAAACAATATTCTAACTTCTCTAAACGACATCATTTAGAACGACTGACATGCAGAAGACAGGCAGATATCCGCATGACACAACCTTTCAATTCATGGATAATTTTATTTTATTTAGGCTATCTTGATCAGCGTATTCATGAACGCAATTCATGGCAATTCTTCCAGTGTGCTCCAGCTTTTCCCAAGAATTTTCGAAATGAACCATTCACCTGTAATTCGAGAGCCAACAGGAAATTTTGTTGATTATTTTATAACCCGGAGATGCGGTGGCTGCGGTGTTGCAATTCTTGAATCTTTCCTTTCAACAGTGAAACCATTCATGGTGCGTATCCGGTCCCAGCAGCACCCACTGTTCACTAGACTGCCGGCTGAAATTGAATGTGAAGGTGCCAGATCACGGCCACCTTCTGTGATAACCTCGTGGCATGGGAAGGCCAAAATATCCGCTGACCACTTCAAGGTAAGTTGCTGACTCTTTCTTTGCTTTGTCGCACATCATTCTCTCGTTTTCGCAACCATCGCTGTATTGTAACGACTTAAAAAGAGAAGAAAGTTAACCGGCTGAGGTGGAGGAAGAAACTTTATTCGTAGCACTTAAGCATGATATTGTGCGGTAGTTTTAAACCTAAGATGCTATAACATGCGATCACAAACTCGCCGTGATCTTTCCTGTCTTGGTAGCATACACAGAACCAAATTCGACCTATTATTCTAGTATTAACTCCAGGGACAATTTCGGTCGTTGCAATGTGGTATTGACACTTTTACCAAGTCATGAAGTCACAACTTGAAATAATACCTTTTCTTGAAATTTTCTGGCACCTGCAAAAATGCCTTTTGGAGGGCGTAAACAATAAACTACGTGCCACTTATGAAAGCTAAAAAGAATTCAGCGATTCATTTATTATTAGAGTTATGTTATCCTAGACTTATTCGCATAGTCTAAATTTTGACAAGTAGTCGGGCAATGGCCTAAAAACAGTTTTTACAACCCCGCATTGACAATATACATTAGATGATTGTGAAAAAGGTAAGTCGCACATGATTTACCCATTGCGCCTTGTGCTCCATCACTTGATTTACTCTCTGGTTCCGCACAAGTAATGCCCTTGGGGAATGGCGTTTTCGCCGTGGCACCAGCGTAGCTTTGTGGTAGAATACCAGAATACCACGCAGGAGGCATGGTTCAATTCCCATTCGTTTCTAGACACTTTTTCTCATTTTATCTTTTTATGTCTATCGGTGACGTTATTGACGGCATCAGCAACGTCACTCAACACAGAAGAACTGGCGCCTAAAGTGTTCCGCTTTAATATATAGTAAGCACAAAAGCAGGCAATATGTAAAAAAAAAACTTAGTAGAGGAGGTGGGGGAGGACTGGTAGAATGGGAGTCACTTATCAAGCTTCCGCCAGGTAAAATATTTCAATAAAGATTTGAAAGAGTCTTGGTTCACTGACTGTTTGAGTAGTGACAATGCAATGTAACGGAACGTGTTGAAGGGATGGCAGCGTCTGCATAATAATCGCGAAGGCTTTAGCAGCGTGTCTTCTTCATTTCTCTGTCTCTTAAGCAAGGTTCACACGAGCAACTTTCTCATTAATTTTTCTTTTGTTTGCGCAACAGCGCTTTCTTACCCGTTTTTCAGCATTATGTTTATTTGCACAACTTTCTGAATTTGAGAAAAAAGCTCTTCGTGCGCCAATATGTACAGAGAGTTGCTATAAACGCTGCCGTTAACGTCACGTGGGCTTTAAATAAAGCGAAACATTACCAACTAATATAAAGTAGGGAGACTAATCAGTTAATTTTTTTTACTTTTGTTCAACAGGAACATATCGGCCAGTGCTCGCTCCATGGCCTCAAGTCACCGACATGAGGTGACGGGCTCACTCATTAGCACTTAAGCGTACCATCTGCCATGAGCTGAGCACTGATATTCGTAATACATAAAAGTAAGCTGAAACAACTACTTTCTCTGCTTTGCGATTTCAACCACCGCCAATCCGCCGGAGGTTTGGCAGAATATGGTGCATTTCAACATGTGTGGAAGTAATATTAAGCCAAAAAAAGAACATGGAATACTACACAATAAAAGTTCAGATATCCACTATACTTCACAATAAAAGTTCATTTATCCAGTATTTTAGCAAGCTACGTTAAAAAGCACCTACGTCGAATGCACGATTAATAAAAATGGAAACAAAAGCAAAACTTCTCAAACTAAACTTTCTTGTTTTCAAATATTTCTTTATTTGCACGCAGGTTCGAGTGCCTCGGTCGACGTAATTAGGACATATCACTGAAGAGGGTTCTCGTATTCATCATAAAGTCACCAGGATGCCACGTGCCTCTAGACTTAAAATCAATAAACCGCTTTCGCGATTGTCGTGCACCTCTGCCTGCCGGTATCGTTTGCCTCAAGTGCCTTCGAAAGAAGACAGCCCGGCCATGGCCACAACAAACAAGCGACGCTTGTGAGCGAGAATCCCTGGGATTCAAGCATGCGTTTTACACCATCCGAACATTGAATAAGAATACGGGAACGTTGCGGCCTGGAATTCATCGAGTCAATTTGGTTCCACGTGCAAAATCCCCATTTGACCACAATAGTAGTGCAGCCGATTTAAAATATTACAGGAGATTAGTAAGCAGTGATTGTCCGAGAATGTTTCTGAAGACAAAAAAGCCCCAATATTTTCCAAGTTTTTTTTTCTACGTTACGGAACTCAAGAAGCTCGAGGAAAACTAAGTGGCATGTGAGGCAAAAATGTCGCAAAGATTGCCATTACTTCTAGGTGTCTCGGTCGACCATACTAATCTCATGACGGCGCTTTTCCGTGAAAACTCGAAAAAACCCTTATGAAAAACTCTGCTTGGAAGATAAAATATATTTGTAGCCTTTTGCGGAAGTATGATTGAATGAACAAAGTGGCCAACTGAAAAAACGTCGTCACACGTAGGGGCTCAGCAGAGGAAAGTAAAACAGGAAAAGAATGCTGTATTTGCCTCGCGTGCTTACAAAGATGGCAAACGCTGTTTAGTATATATATAAAAAAAGCGCAGCGTGGCGGTAAAGGGCAGCATGGAGTAAAATTTATATTGAACAGCCGCATAAACTTGACACGCAAACTCCAGCACTGTAGTCATCGTTGGCAGCTTGAGTCACGAAGCTACTGCACACCTCCCGTGTGAATCTGTGTGCAACACAGAGTTGTAATCTCAAATACCAAGCTTCAATATTACCGTGCCCGTGTGGCATCTACAGCCCACTTATTGCTTTACGCTCAAATACCCTACGAAGCTTTGAAAGAAAAACTACATGAAGTGAAAGCACGCATGCGCTGCTATTGTGAACGGTGCTCGTGTGTCTATGTGGTTGCAACTAATGTGAAAACTACGTCAGCAATCACTCTGATTGCTCCCTTATTTCTGCATTTGTACGTTCGTATATTGTGTCAGCAGCCAATTCCACTTATAAAGTGTCAGTAGATTATTACACGTGAGATGGCTCATTGATCATATTATGCAAGACAAAGAACTGTCATTCATGAATTTAGCATGGTTTACGCATATTGAAGCGTTAATTTCAGGGCCCAGATGAGAAGGTGATTGGTTGATTGATATGTAGGTTTAATGTCCCAAAACCACATATGATTATGAGAGACGTCGTAGTGGAGCGCTCCGGAAAATTCAACCTCCCTGGGTTCTTCGACGCCTACTCGAATCTGAGCACAAGAGCCTACAGTATTTACGTCTCCATCGAAAATACAACTACCGCAGCCGGGATTTGATCCCGCGACCTTGGGGTCAGCAGCTGAGTACCATAGCCATTACACTACCGCGGCGGGGCAGATGAGAAGTTCATTTATACACTGAGGAATGAATACATACATTGCTCCAGCGTGATGTCTTATACGTGATGTCTACGTATAAGGTGTAGATATTGTACATAAAAATCAATATTTTCACATTTTTGTGTATTCCATCGTAGTCAAAGAGACAACACTAGCGCAAAACTTCGGCATCTTTCATGGGCAGGTAGGTGGAGCATTTCATATATTTTTCTTTGTAGAAATTCTGTATGAAAACAATACATACCAGTTCTAATATGAATGCTAAAAGTCTATGATGTTTATCGGCTCGTTTAGGTACCTTCAGCTTATCCGAGACAATGATCACTTGAATGATCATTGAGGAAGTAGGTCATTAAATAAAAATCGGGGTGTATTTCTGCATTTAAGGTGACGCGTATCAGTCATTTCTACGCAGTGTAATAATACCAGTTAAGTAGAAAGAACGTCTGCACAAAAAATGAAAAAAAAATAGTTTTTCGAAGTAGAATGAATAAATAGTGCATGTCACTTGCCCTACCCACACACCACATTAGAAATTTCAGTTTCAAGGCTCGTTTATCTGCGTGCTTGTACTCCTCAGTAAAGAAATCATGACAGAAAATGTAGTGCCTGCGAAGGCTACATGTCGTTGACTACACACACAAAAAGAGCGAAAGCCATGAAGACCATATAAAACTAAATCATGAATCGGAAAGCTCAAGGCAGTCTTCATGAGCTAGACTAGAAGCCATAAATATACATGAAAGTAAGAACAGAGTTTTTTTTTCGCGTGCCCGCAATCCATCATTCTTGGTAAAGAGCTATCTCAAACGTCTCATAGATACAAAGGCAAAACTTCTGACGACAATCTAGCTGACTCTGATTTGTGCAGCGATAAAAAAGGTTAAATATATTGAAAGATAAAAAATTCCTTATCGTTCTACTCGAACACTCTTTTTTTACAACTTCTAACGTTCTATGTAGCGGCACCAGGCTTGGACGCTTTGCTGCAACACCGGAATCACTAATCGTACGTTTGAGGGTAATCGATCAGCGGGAACATTGTCTCGGCAGCCGGTTATCCTGTTTGACAGTGAGGCACCTGAAGCTAACAAAGTTACCAGTTCTTATTTATTTATTGTTGATTTTGTTTTTGCGCAGGAAACCTCGTAAAATATTTCTAACGTCTCTCTGCTTTTGCTAGTGACATGCTGCCACACTTGTTGTAGTTCTCAGTCTTATAGTAAAGACAGTTTTTACATGTGCATGTGTGTAAGGGTGGTTTGCACTACCTGAACAATTGCACAATAGGTAATGGATCCGGACCACTGTAACATAACTTAGCGGTGCCCAGCCGAAGTGCCACTTCTTCGCGTGTACTTGCGAAAGTTTCTATCACTGCGTCTAATTGAAAGCGTAAGCTTGAGCACTGGTGACGCAACGTAAAAGAAAATATTGGAGCTATCACTCTGTGATCCAAAAGAGTTCTACTCATCCGCCATATTAACCTTTAATAACAGAATTACCCACTCCCGCTTCCTTAAAAAAAGACAGGCGCCGGGAAAAGCGACATTAAAGCCTAAACGCTTTCATAGTTGCACACTCGTTAACTTGGCGTGGCCATTTAAATCGTTGATTACTGTTTATTTACGAGAAAGTTGACAACGTCCAGGGAAGTTACGTTTCTGTATCTTTTTCATGCACATTTTATACGTGTTTGTTCAAGCTTAATGATGTTGACGTTCACTATATTGAATACACATAGCTTTCAAAATGGTTGCGTTGGTAGAGAACTTCGCATATTTACACTCGTGCTGTTTGTAACAAAAACGAGCTTGCAGTGTTCCCTCTCGCCAGCAAGAAATGCCTGAAATTCATCAATCTAGATATACATAGCCAGTGTTAACACAAAAAAGTATTCGAGCAGCTGTAGTGACACAAGTCGGTCCTCACGCAACATCGAGCCAGCTACGCATGGTGTTACTTGATAATTATTAAAAAAATGGTGAAGAGTGCTAAATTTGAAGTGCGGTACAGCATGATGATCCGTTCAATAAACAAGTTCTCATTGCATAAAAGTTGTCTTGAATAGGTGATTGATGATGATGATGATGATGATCAAAACTTTATTACTCCGAAAAGAGGGGACCGGCCGATAGGTCGGTTACTCTGCTTAGAGGAGGTAAGCGGGGATCCCTTGGGACACCGTGGCCTTCAATGCGCGTGAGATTACCCGGCGTTGTTGTGCCGAGTCAGTGATAGGCAGAAGGGACTGCCATGTATCTTCTGTGTGAGAAGCGTCCACGTACTGTGGGCACGTCTATGCCATGTGTATGCGGGGGGCCGATTGTGAGCAGTATTTACAGTGTGGTGTCACGGGGTGTGGGTAAACTTTGCTATAAAGCCAGGGGTTGGGAAAGACACCTGCCTGAAGCTCTCGCCACAGGACTGCATCACGTCAAGGGAGGTCTTTATGAGCTGGATGATAGCTGAGACGGCCTAGTCTGTAGTGCTGTAGAATGTCTATGTATGTGACCAAAGGAGTTAGTTCTTCGCAGCTCTGGGAGGGCGAAGAATGAGAAGGCGTAAGGAACTTCGCCCGGCAGTTGAGATCTCGGGCGAGAGTGTGTGCCTGCGCATTTCCACTAAGAGATTCATGAGCCCAGATAAGAAAAGGAAGTGAGGCAGGCGGGGTGTGATGCTTTATGATTGAGTATGCCTGTGTAGAGATACGGCCCGCGTGAAAATTTCAGATGGTGAGTTGGGAATCGCTTACGATCACCTTGGTCATTCATTCGGTCGGTCATTGCCAAAGCAATGGCAACCTCTTCGGCAACTGTTGTATCGGTGGAGTGAATTGCACTTCATGCCATGCTCCACCCACGTTGTGGGGCCAGGGCGAGAGTCACCATTGTTGCTCGATGTGGCTGTCGCGAGGCGTCTGTGTACGTGACATCGGAACGATTTGAGAGACGTTTCTGTAGTTGGCGCGCATGGTCAGCCCTACGATCCACATGATGTTCCGGGTGCACCGACACTTCGCCTGTCTATCATGTATAGCTATAGTCGCCGCAAACACGGGTAAACAAGACAGTGACGATACCTGTATTATAATAAGAATAGTAATTGTTGATGAGATGGTACAACATTTTGATGCAACCAGACACTTAGGATAGGGTGGCCAGAAGACCCATCATCGTCTTGCATCCACTTCCACCCTCTTCCCTCAAATGATTCTTTCATGAATCAATATTTTATCTACTTACCCATCCATAAAATGTATTCCACATTCATTCACGAAAAATGTGTCACTTCGTGCTTTACAGTAAGACAAAATACCTTCATTTTATCTGCCTTAGGATTATTTCACTCTTGTTTTTTTTCTATTTTGTTTTCGCTACTATCCTGAGGTTAAACTTTCAACATTCGCACTAGGTACAGTCATGTAATTTTAGAGAAAGCTTGGTGAGCTTGGCAAATGCCGAAAGATGTGCCTCGCGATGCCAGCCGGCTGCGGAATTTTAGGGGCGAAGCTCCTTATAGCGGCACCCATTCGTCC